TCAAAGCCCTAGCTATCATTATCTTCATAATATATATTATATTTTACCCTTATGTAGAAATGAGACTTAAAAAGGACCAACACTGCATTATTTGATTGTACTAAACGCAGTACTAATTGTACATTTTAGAAAGGACCAACACTGCATCTTTCTATTGTACCAATGGTAGTACTAATTGTACATCAATATAATAAATAAAGCCACTTTCTCTAGAACTTTCTTGCTATATCTGACCAATTTCTAACCCTAATTTGTCGCCTCCTTCGTAAAGTCCGACTATTCTCTCAACTCTTCCTTCTATACTTCTCATCTCTTCAATGGCGAATCCGTCTGCTCCTTACTTTTTGTTGTTTGTCTACACACTTTAAAACTGTCTCTCAAGCTTTCCTGAAGATCTCTGCTTGTTTCCGATGAGCTGCGCAGGTGCTTCTTCATGCTTTAAGTTTCTGTCCTCTTTGGTAAACTCGTTGTATTCTGTCAACTCTTCCTTCTACTTCTGACCTCTTCAATGGCGAATCCATCTGCTGCTTAGTGTTTTCTGTTTGTCTACAGAGTTAAAATCTGTCTGTGAAGCTTTCCTCAACATTTCTCTTTGTTTCGGAAGACTTGCGCAGGTATTTCTTCCTCCTTTAAGTGAAATTTACAGGTTTGCTCCATCATTTTCTCTTTCTCCTATTCCTAATCTGTCTTCTGTTTTCCTCTTTCTCCGATTCCTAATTTCTCTTTTCTGGAGCATATTAAGCCATATTATATTATGTGAATTATACTATTAACGGGGGAGTCTTTCATTTGTGATTAAATTTCTTTTGTCGTTCTTCTATTAGGCTATAATCATGTGTATTGCTTCTGAAAACACCTGTCCTTTTTAATGTTGCTGAACTTCTATATCTACGGCGATCTCTGTTGGGTACACTAAGATTGTGGATTTTTATGATTTGGCTAATCTCTTCTTTGTTCAAGAGTCGACTACTTTGTTACTCTGTACCGAATGACATAAAAGTTACATGCTTGTGATATTTTTGGGATTAGTTGTTTGTACTTTTTTCATTCGAGTTTACAGGTTTCAACATATCTCAACACTAGAATAAGTTTTGAGCCTCAAGTGTGGCTACACTTCTATGTATATGTGACCATCCTCTCATTTTTAATCTAAATTAGATGTTACTGATCCATACATGAGTAGTTCTAGAATATGTAATGCATATGTTCCATCTAATTTTTTTTCCCTTTTTATTTATACTTTTTGAAAAGTAAACAATCCTTTTTACCCCAAAAAATGAGCAGGGCCTCTCTTCAATTTGGGAGTCTTACTTGCACAAACAATTGTTAGTATTTCTTCTTTATGATTAATTTGGTTGTTGTCTATGATGATAATCTTTACATGTTTGATTACATTCATTTACTCCTATTCCTAGAAATAGTCACATATGAAGTATAAGCTTCACAGGTTCTATTGTAGAGGAATTATAAAGCATGTAGAAAGCTTTATATTGTTTTAGCTTCGTGTACAAACATTTCCTTTGTACAATATGTGGATGTTGAACTGAATGATTGTTGTGGCTTTGAATCTACTGAAATAATTTTTGCTTTATGAGATCAAATCTGAAATAAATGATTCTCAGGTAATTTTGCTTATTTTTTCTTTATTTCTAGATCAACAACTTCAATATAATTGAAATGAGATGACTTTCTAATATAATTTCTCATAAAGACAAGTTGTTTTTTTCAATTAAACGTTGGTTACATTTCTTTATGTTATTTGTACCACTAACCGGATCAGCCTCGTGAAAACCTTATATTCCCCTGAGGAGGTTCTACCACGTGGAAAGGCTCTTTGATAGAACTTTAGCCTTAGCTGGTCATGACCAAGAAAGCACTGGATTCATCTGGCACAATGTGCTTATATTTTCGTAATATTGTGTTTCGCTTGTACATTTTGATGTCGTCTGTAAAGTGATTTACCTCCATTATTGGTAGATCTCACTTGAATCAGTCTTTGCACAAGAAATACTTGGGTTATGCTCACAGCTTGAAGCCAGATGAAGTGTGACGATGACATATGAATTTGAGTCATTGATATAAATGTTGCATCATTGGGATTTGTTGCAATAGGCTTTGATATTTTTTAACTTAGCTCTCTTAAGTCTTTTACACCCTTTCTACTGAAAGTTCTCTATTTTTTCCGGCCAGAATTGTCATTACAAGAAGCAACTCCTAATAATGTCTACTTTGCTACATTATATAATTCATTGACACATGTAAATGTTTACCAGAATTCTTATCTTAACCATCTGTACTATTGAGTGCAGTAGGAAACTCTCTCATAATGGTACTAGGATGAATTTTTCCTGCTTCATTTCTACTCCTAATTTAGTGCTTCTGTTATTAATTTACTTACCGGTGGTTGCACATGACTTTTACTTCAACTCTTTTAATTATCGTTTCGCCTTTCTTCAATTTTCCAGTTTTCAGGATACTCCAAAATTGTCAGTGGGTATTAAAAATCATTACCTGCTCCAAATATTTCATGTCATATATTTAATACTTCGTTTCAGTTGTTCCATGTGTAGTTGTAACTTCGTTCATATTCAATTCCCTTAAATTGAATGCTCCTAAATACTAAATCCCTTTCATAGGAGATTCCCTGCAACTGGAACATAAAAATACCACTCATACACGACAGCCTGCAGGGTCTGCAGGAGCCTCTTCATTATCACCAGCTTACAGGGATTGCTTCAACTTCCCACGCAAACTCTATTTACAGGCTAGCCACTCCACAACATTCACATACATCCCACACGTGATCGCAGGTATCTTATATGTCTTCGCCCATGATCTATACAATTTGATACAACCACCAGCTATTCTCTCATATTTTACTTTGCCTCTAACAAAAAAATTCCAAATACAGTCAAAATTGTTATCTCGCCCATTGGTAGTATTCACTCCAGTAGGAAAGTCTCTCATAATGCTACTACCACCAATTTATAGTACTTCCTTTTTTCTGCTAATTTACTACTTCTCTTGCTGATTTAGTTTCCACTCTTTGCGCATCACTTTTCATTCAATTGTTTTAATTATCGTTTAAAGTTTGTCTGACTTTCTCTTTTCTAGGATAGTCCAAATTGTTAATGACTATTCAAACTCATTAACTGCTAGGCCTAGCATTGTAGGGAAATACTTGCTTCTAAGCTTATCGTTACTTTGTTTCATTCGTTTATCATTTCTTCCTTCACAATTAAATATCTTTACAATATAAAATCCAAATTCATATTATACTTGCATAACAGCGAAAAAAGTAAATAACAAAAAGAAGCAGTGTAGCTAGGCAGATTTCTTTGGTAATAGTTTCCCTTACTTTCATTTTCGCAGTAGCTTTACTTCCGCTGCTTTGACCTGTTTCGCGGTTAACAATTAGGTAGACCACTGAATTGAACATGCAAATAAAGTGTTTGCTAAAACTCTTCATCCTCGGTATCACTTCTATATAAGTTGTCGATAGAAGAGCAGCTTACATCCAAACATTTGCCACAATCTCTTCAGTTTTAGGCTTTATGGATTTGGCTTATTCTTGCATGTATACCCAAAAATATAATGCCTTCTATTCATGGCTCTTTGTTCGGTTCCATTTGGGAATGGAATCATTTTACCGCGGGCCCCATAAATCTGGATGTTGCCCGCATTTTCAGATGTACGCTTAAACAAGCTACGATAATTTGGCTATAACATTAGCCGCTAATAGAAGATAGTTAAAAAAAAAACACGAAATGTAACATCAATAGCAGATGGAGCCTTCAAATGATAAATTTGCTATACAACAGACTTGCACATTTAGTAGTATGACACCAAATGTTTCTGCTCAAACCTCAATCACTTCAACTCTGCTGATGTAGCTTCTTCTTCACAGCTTTGATAAACAAATTTGTGCATTAAACACTTATAGTAGTCAAATAGTCATGTCTATATATGAGCATCTGCAAATGAAAACACACACTTAAAAGGAACACACAGTTTAATTTGATAATTGGTTGTAACTTCCCTGTCCACTTTTTCTGCCTTCCTCTGCAAATGAATACAACAGCTTTAGGACCTCTGTTTCTCCCAGCTGTACGTAATGTCAGCTTTCTTCCGAATATTTAACTCATTCCTCCCTTCTCCGTTTCATTCCACGCAATTCTTTATGGTCTTATCTAATAAACCTCTTCAAATTGTACACAAACTACTATGAAACTTCTTAATTTATTGGCTGCTTTGTTTGTATACAGGAAATTACTAAATCTGTTGTTTCTGATTGTTCAAAGCTCTCCCAAAAACACAGAAAACAGAAATGCAGTTCAGGTAACAATGTTTTTGAACTCACATTTGAACAGCTAACTTTATCAATCACTGTAGAAATTCTTTATAGCTATTAGTATAACATCTCTCACGATTTATACCTACCATAAAAGTCACTTTTGCCTATGCTGCCACAATCTTTATCTTTCTGTTTACCTTAGTGTCAATATCAGTCTGTTGCATTAATGAGTTGGGTGAATTGGCTTAGCAAAACATTTCCACTATCATATGCCATAAATCCATTGGTGTTGCTACACAATTCTTATAAATAGTTCAACGTAGAGGTTACTTATTGTGAATAGGGAAACTACAAAGTTCATTATACACTTTCTTCCAATATTATTTCCCTTTAATTGTAGCTGCGTTACATTAACTGCATTACAACATTATGAGTGCATGCACACTAAATAGCATTAGTTGCGTTACATTAACTGCATTACAACATTATGAGTGCATGCACACTAAATAGCATTAGTTGCGTTACATTAACTGCATTACAACATTATGAGTGCATGCACACTAAATAGCATTAGTTGCGTTACATTAACTGCATTACAACATTATGAGTGCATACACACTAAATAGCATACTGCCAATATTGTCTACAACTACACTCATTTGTCATCCAGGTTGTAAGTGTGTTATACAGTTTTTAACTATATTATTTCAACTCTCCATCATGCATTTCCCTCAAAGTAAAACACATTTGAACCAGCCAGACCAACCACAACAGTATACGTTTCTCTAGCCCTAAACTTTCTATTCCTTTTACCTTTATCAATAGTCTAATATCAAATCAACGTGCCTCGCAACAAATTACCAGTCAAAATTCTGGTGTTGATGTAGACAGCCAAGAGTTCTGTATTTTACTTCGAATAATATAGAATAATAAATTCTGCATTAACTCATTTTGGAGTTTCGTTAATCCCATATATCTAATTCTGTTCGCTATGGATAGAACGTTGCAGTAGCTAAACTCAGTAGCTTTCTTCTTCTGCTCTCTTCTGATTTCTCTTTGAAAATTAGTTAAAATAAACCCCCAACCATTACTACCTACGCAGATAATATTACTGCAGTGTCTACACTTATCAGCACAGGCTCACCTAAAACACACCTGAATACAGATGTCGGCCTTATTTTATAACATGACTAATTCAAACCTGAACTTAAGCTCTACCTTACGTGTAAAATGATTATGGCATGAATGCTTAAAAAAGGCATATGCTCATTTCAAAATTAACAATAATATGATACGTTGAACTTGTGATATCACATTAGTATCGAAGACAATAACATGTCAAAGAAATGACGGAAATTTACACATTTGCTTAAATATTTTTGTCGTTTGTCCTACATTTCATGAAAAACTTACACATCGATTCTGTATGTTACCCAAAGTGTTATGCTCACTTTAATCATACTTGTTACATAATTTCTGTGTCATATGTAACACGTTCATATGTGAAAACGATCATAAGTTATTTCATTAGTTTCAAAATAATAATTACAGTCCAAATATTCTCTATGCTGCACAATCATTGCAGAGACAGAAAACTCATTTAATTAGGCTTATATAGGATGAATGTGATAGAAGCTTCATGTGATACACATGTTCAATTCCTAATCTTTCCACCTGACAAAGGGCCTATGATGGTGCCTACTCTCATTGTTCTTTCCATATATATTTATGTTCGTATGTCCTTCAATTTAAGGATAATTACATTGTTGTGTTGAAGTGCTTTCGTTTTTTCCTTCCACTTACTTCTTCCAAAACTCCTTACACTATTCTGTTTGAATTCTTTTCATTCTAATTCTTATTTTCCCAAATGCTACATTTGTATATCTCAAATGTATGGTATTTACATTATACGCATTCAACATGTTTGATCATATACGTTAAAACTGTTAACACAATTTTTCTGCCTTTTTTTAGACTGTAAATATTCTGTCCCATATCGCTCAACAACTGAAAAGGTATGTTATTACACCGGAACCTCACTCTCTTCTCTGTTGCTTATTTTTCTTGAAAAAATATCTTCCAAATGTATGTCATTTGATCCAACTTGTGTATCTATTTAAATCATTTACTCTTGTGTTCGTATGTTCGTTGCACTAGATGTCACACAAAAATATCCACAATTCAAATACACAAGGGTTCCATGAACAACATTTGTCTGGTCACTAATGTGTCAATATTTTAGCAGTCAATCTTACTGACAATACATCAAAGATAATAGGTGCAGGCTCTACAAACCCAATTGTCAAATGTTTAGTAATAACATTTTCCTTAGGTGCCTATTATTTTGCTTAGCTTTTTCGCATTCTTATGCCCTACATTTAACTTCGCCAAAAATGACTTCATTAGGCTTCTCTTTGAAACCCTGCATGAAAGTACTTTGTTCTAAATTTATATAGTTCAGTGCGCATGAAAAAAAAATTTCCTTGCTTGCAACAGGCCTCATGAAAATGAAGGTGACAAAAATTAAGGGTACATCATTAGACAACATTCCTTAAATTCTATCTGATAGGAGCTATAACATGTAAAAAGCTTCCACTTAAAGAGGCAACCTTTACAGTAATATGTGTATTTCTGTGACAACAACTCCATATTGGTTGTGCTGGATAGTATCAGTTTTAATCGTATACTGTCAACTAATCATCATATACTACTGCGTTTATCAGTTGTACATATCACTTTTTTTCCCTTACCTACATCACTTTTCCACTTTCCTCTGTTCAGATTTTATTGGACCATTTTCTCTTCAAAATATCATATTCTTTTTCTTATTACAATTACTATAGGTTTGGTTAAAAATTTGCATCTTAAGAATAGAAAGGAAATGCCTTTGCCAGTACTATCGCCTGCACTTTCTTTCGCCTCTCCTATTTTCAGTTAGTTTGACGTAGCTATGACAAATAATGATTTACAATTTTAACTTTATAAATTGCTCTAGCAATGGATTTGATTTAGAACCACATGTTCTCTGTACATTTACTGGAATTGTTGGTAAAAAATATTGCCCCAAACTCATAATCTTAATACTTGCTTCTACTCCCTCATGAAACCACCACTCATGAAACCTCTTCATATTCCTGTACCTCAAAGTCATATTATAACAATCTTTCACCCTACGAAGTGCGTCCAATGTTTTAGCAACTCTTCTTAATTAGATTTTATTTCCTGAAAATGGAGATAAGATGGAACTTTGACAGTATGAAGACCTAAACTTATCCCAATTTTTTCCCCCGCAATCACTTTACACATATGAATGAAAGTTTGGGTGCTTTCAAATGGTCACCAGTGATTTGCAAATGCATACAATATGTTTGACTTATTTGCCATATGGTCTCTTCAGTCTATTTCCGTGGTAATAGTAACTGATCGGCAGAATATTGTTTATTTTACGCTGAATTTTCCAGTACATGGTGTTTTTACTTCAGGAAAAATATCCTTTAGCTTATATTTTATATTCACATCATGGTGCTATGTAGGTATAGTTACATAGCAAATATGGTTTCTGCAATTTCCTTAGGTATACAATATTACTTTTTGTTTAATTTAACTCATGTGATCAACTAATTACTTCAATTTTCCCAAATGTAAGCATGATTAAATATTTGCAATAATTATCTTGCTTTAATGATGGTGCAAGACAGGCTAACGAAGTTATGTTTTCCATTCCCATTCTTCCAGTGATCAAAACTGTCCAGCACAATAATACGAATAGATTCATCCTTCGCAGCAACATAAAGTTCTTCATATGTCTTTTGAACTACCAAACACAATTCAAACTGTAAAAACATCTTCTGTTAAATAACTTATCTTACATTTATTCTAAAATACGATGTTATGTCTTCCATCAAAATATTGTAATGCTTATATGATGTTTGTCATTAGTCCATATTACGCTCATGCTGCCACATGGGTTGTTTTTGGTCACTTCTATGTATATTTGCTACATTACATTACATTCTAAATTTTTTTAACAAATCATCACCACCTTCAAATAGGAATGGAAGAAAATCCAAATAATCTGCCTACCCAACAAACAACTTCAGACAAAAATTTGCGTCGACGTACTAGATATGCGCAAATGTCACCGGACAGAAAACAATTATTTTTATCCCAGCTAAGAGCAAAAAGGGTTGAATCAAAAAGACAAAAAACCCTTCACCAATCCAATAGTACTGCTGCTCTTACAATTACCACTTCTTCATTATCTCCTCAACAAGGTTAGCTATGCATATTCTTATGTTCCTTCTACCAAAACTATCTTTTAAATATCTATAGCTATAGTTACACGCTTCAACTGAGCTACTCTTAATAGATTTACTTTCCTCATTTTGTTGTTGCAGCTTCCAAACCTACAAATGTACCATCCACTTCAACTAGAAGAGACCATATAGTTACTTGCTTATCTACCTTCAAACAAAGTCAGTTCACAGATATTGCTTCACCTATTTCGCCTATATTCATTTCTAATAATTACCTAGCTATCTGTAAATATTTCCATTCGGTCAAATAGAAATGATCAATTACTTCAAACAGGAATAGAAGAAAATAGAGATAATGTGCCTACCCAGGAACCAACTTCTGATAGAAATTTGTGCCGACGTACTAGATATGCACAAATGTCACCGGAGAGTAAAGAATCACTTCTATCCCAGCTAAGAGAAAAAAGGGCTGAATCAAAAAGACAAAAAAACCTTCATCAATCAAACAGTATTGCTGCTCTTACAATTACGACTTCTTCATTATCTCCTCAGCAATGTTAGCTAAGCATATTCTTTTCTTCCTTCTGTTAAATCTCTGTTGTAAATATCTACAACTATAGTTACACACTTCAACTAACTACAAACGTACCAGGTACTTCAACTAGAGAAGAACATATGGTCGGTTGCTTATCTAGCTTTGAACTAGGTCAGTTCAAAAATAGTACTTCAACTATTTTGAGTCTGTTCATTTTTCATAATTACCTACCTATCTATAAATATTTCTATTCCTCATACTAGGATCAACATTAGTTGCATGTCATGTTGCAAGCAAATTACCTTCAACACATTCTGCAAATAAAGGTATGCTTCTTTTCACCAAAATCATTAAAAACAATGTCTTCTTTTCACTTTATATGTAACAAATAATTGCTTTTTACCTTGCACAGGTAGAAATAATTTAGAAATCAATCTACAAAATGATAATTTAGTGCCAAAAGATTACTTGCTTTTAAAGAAAGTTCCAAATTGCAAATTTTGTGTAGCAAAAAGGTTTCAATATGAATCACCAGGTTTTTGTTGTGATAATGGATCAATTAGACTAACTTCTCATAGGATGCCTACTGAGTTGCGAAATTTGTTCTTGGGTGACTCCAAAGAATGTCAACATTTTCGCACTTATAGTAGAGCCTACAATAATATGTTTGCCTTCACTTCACTTGGAGTACGTTATGATAAAGAATTAGCAAAGAGAAATCGTGGCATATATACATTTAAGGTTCAAGGACAAATGTATCACTTCATTGATGATTTGATACCCTCAACAGGAAAAGCAAAAAATTTACAATTATATTTCTATGATAATGAAAATGAGCTAACAAATCGAATGACATTATCAGATAATCTTAACGAGCTAATTGTTACAAAACTCATGGATATGCTCAAACTTAATCCTTATTCTACTTTTCTTAGGTCGTTAACAGTTGTTCCAAATTTATCTGAATTTTACATTGCTCTAAACTCAAGTTCCAATTTAGACCAAAGAACATATAACTTACCAACTGCATCTGAAGTTGGCGCAATTTGGATTGAAGATCAATTAAATGATAAAATTTCCACACCACATATTCGAATTTACACTCATAGTAACAAAAGCCAATTAGTCAATTATTATTACGGATGTTATGACCCATTGCAATATCCACTTTTGTTTCCTTATGGTCAAAATGGCTGGCATTGTGGTATTAAAAAAATCAACAAGACATATAATTATTCGAAAAACCAAATTTCTTGTGAATCTGAGCAACTACCAGGTATAAAAAACATCGCTTCTATTGATACACTCCTTCACATTGAGTCTACAGTTTTATCAAAAGGATTAAGAAAAAGAGACACTGTTTCTTGTCGTGAATATTACTGTTATAAAATTCAAATAAGAGATGAAGAACCAAATGACACTTTACATTCTGGAAGGGTATTTCAACAATACATAGTTGACCAATATATCAAACTTGAGACACAAAGATTAGATTTTGTTTCATTTAATCAGGATCTATTTAGAGTTGAAGCCTTTCAAGGAATTATTGATTTATTGAGGCAAGGAGAAAGAGATGCTTCCAATATTGGCAGACAAAAATTCCTTCCTGGTAGTTTCATAGGAGGCCCAAGAGATATGCGTCGAAGATATATGGATGCCATTGCTTTGGTACAACATTTTGTAAAACCAGACATATTTTTTACGATGACTTGTAATCTTTGTTGGCCTGAAATACAAGAACATTTACAGCCAATGGAAGAAGTTCAAAATAGACCTGATTTAGTTAGTAGAGTATTCAGAGCAAAAGTAGAAGAACTTAAAACAGATATTCAAAAAACCAACATATTTGGAAAGATTGCAGCTTTTATGTATACAATTGAGTTTCAAAAACGAGGTCTTCCACATGCCCATTTTCTGATTATACTTATGGATGGATATAAATTTCTAACACCATAATCATATGATAAAATTGTATGCGCTGAATTACCTGATCATCATATTGATCGTCATCTACACAAACTTGTGACCAAGCACATGATCCATGGTCCTTGTGGCTATTTGAATCCTTCAAATTCTTGCATGCAAAAAAAAGGAAAATGTAAGTTTAAATATCCAAAACAACTTACTGAACAAACAACCAAAGGAAAGAATTTGTATCCTCTTTACAAAAGACCAAAAATGATCACACCAATCAAAGTTAGAGGACACAACATTGATAATTCTTGGATTGTCCCGTACAATCCATTTTTACTGAAGAAATTCGGTTGTCATATTAATGTTGAAATATGTTCTGACATTAAGGTTATCATATACATTTACAAATATATTTGCAAAGGCATGACAAAATTGCATTCTTTGTACATAATAATGATACTAATGTAGAAATAGATGAAATCAAAGAATACCAATCTACTAGATGGGTTTCTCCTTCAGAAGCTGCGTGGCGTCTGTTTGCTATTTCGATAAGTGAAATGACTCCAAGTGTTTGCCAATTACAGTTGCATCTTGATGGACAACAATTTGTTCTTTAAAAAAAAAAACCAAACTATCGATCAAATAATAAACAATCCAATGATAAAGAAAACGATGTTAACAAAAAAATTTCGTATGAACAAAATGAATAGCGATGCTATGAATCTTAATTTACTATATAAAGAGTTTCCCCAACACTTTGTATGGTCATCATCATACAAAATGTGGTCACGTCGAAAACAACGCTTTACTATTGGACGTATTGTCACATGTCATCCAACCGAAGGAGAAAGATATTATCTTAGGTTGCTTCTAATGAACATAAGAGGACCAAAATCCTACGAAGATCTACGTACAATCGATGGAAAATGCTACGCTACATTTAGAGAAGCTGCAGAAAAAGGCTTATTACATTCTGATAACAACTTAATTGAGTGTATGTCTGAAGCTGTAAGCTATCAAATGCCATATAGTTTAAGAAAATTATTTGCAACATTATTAGTTTATTGTAATCCTGGTAACCCAAAAGATCTTTGGAAAAAATATGAAGACTCTATGTCAGAAGATTTTAAAATTATTTCAACTATTACAAAAAAAGATATCCACCAATTAGTTTTAAATCACATCAATGGGACATAACATAAATGAATTTAAAGATATATTTGGAAATGTTAGCTTTTCTAAAACAACTAATGAGGCAAAGGAAATATATTTCGAAAGAAATATAATAGTCTCTAAAAAAGATATACATCTTCAAAGCAAATTAAATGTTGAACAAAAAAGGGCATATGACATAATTCTTGAAAAAGTATATTCCAATAAATCAGGAGCTTTTTTTCATTGATGGTCCTGGTGGAACAGGAAAAACTTTCCTTTATCGAGCTTTGCTGGCTGCTATAAGAACAAAGGATACATAGCTTTAGCAACTGCAAGTTCTGGTGTTGCAGCTTCAATACTTCCAGGAGGACGAACAGCTCATTCACGTTTCAAAATTCCTATTGACATCGATGAAAATTTCACTTGCAATATTAGTAAACAAGTTCATTAGCAACTCTAATTCAAGATTTAAAGTTAATTGTTTGGGATGAAGTCTCAATGGCAAAAAAAAACATCATTGAAGCTCTTGATACACTTTTAAAAGATCTTATGAATACAAAAACACTTTTTGGTGGAAAAGTTGTAGTTTTTGGGGGAGATTTTAGACTAACACTTCCTGTTGTTCGTAATGGGAAAAAAGAAGACTTTATTGGTCAAAGTTTATTATACTCCCATATTTGGAATCATCTCGAAAAATTGTGCTTATCTGAAAACATGCGTGCAAAAAAAAGATCCAGCATTTTGTGCATATTTAATAAGAATTGGAAATGGACAAGAAAAAACTAACAACTGCAACAAAATTGAAATTCCCAATAATTTTGTCATTCCCTTTACACATGAAATAGAATCTTTGAATCTTTTGTTTAATGTAACTTATCCTGATTTCCGTACATTCTATTCTAATCCATCTTTTATAACTTCCCGTATTATTTTGACAACAAAAAATGATTTTGTTCATGAAATAAATGACATGATTATACATTAATTTCCCGATGATGCTACAGTTTATACAGCTATTGATGAAACAATAGAACCAAATGATCAGTGCCAATTTGAAGATTTCTTGCA